GTGGACCAGTCTGGACCTCAGGACAACTAAAGACCTGATCACCTCTGTGGACCAGTCTGGACCTCAGGACAACTAAAGACCTGATCACCTTTGAAGACCAGTCTGGAGTCAGTGTTTTCTTTAGTTGTCCTGAGATCCATGCTGGTCCTGCTCACCTCTGTAGACCAGTACAACTGGACCTTATGACAACTAAAATTAAATGATTATCAGATCTACGGGATCTAGAGGGTACATAAATGTACAGGAGTTCAGACAGGTCTACAGGAGTCTGTCCATTCAGGGCCCTAAAGCTCATCCATAAAACAAGGTATAAAGAAAATAAAGAGAAGCAGCTTGGAGGAGAGATGCTTTTTGTTGGTGTTAAAGGATTTAAGTTCTGGACTAACTGCTGTCCTGTAAGGAGCATGTAGTTGAGAAATAAAAAGGGTCCAAGAACAGATCCTTGTGGAGCTCCATGTGTGAAGAGGCTGAGGTGACCGATTCTCCGAGGCTTCAGAGAACCTTCTGTCAGACCTGTAAGAACTGAAGCAGTCTGAAGCTGAACTTTGGATTCCACGGAGCTCTGAATGGTGGATTGCTTTCTCCAGGTTGGGGAGGAGGTTCTGCCTCATCTGGAGGAGTTCAGGTATTGACAGACGGATCGGTGCAGTTCCTGCAGTGTTGTGGACTCGACACAAAAATGATCAGTCTGTTGTGGTTCAGCTGTAAGAAGCTGTTTACCGGTCTGTCTTTGGTCCTGGGAATCCTCCCAGAAGAGGTGGCTGGAGAAAGAGATGGACCTCGCTGATCCAGCTGCTGCCCTGCGATCTGACTCTGGAACAAGAGGAAGATATTGAAAACCTCTGAAAGCTTAGAAACATTCATGTTGGAGTCAACGTGATTTTTAAAATTAGAGTTTTGATTGTTTTGTTCTGAACAAGCTGAGCTCTGGAGCCTCTCAAACTCAATAAATACAAGATTTCCGTTTCTTAATTTTACCATCTGGTTCAGTTCAGCACAAAGGCTCATCTGTAGCTGTCATGTGCTGCGTGTGCGTGTGCGTGCGTGCGTGCGTGTGTGTGTGTGTGTGTGTGTGTGTGTGTGTGTGTGTGTGTGTGTGTGT